ACTGACTAAAAACCACCCCGTACCTACTCCTGCACTACGAGCCGGAGCCCTGGCAATCCGTTAAGTCCTCCGCGGCTCCGTATCAGCATCAGCCGTATTGGGCATCATCCGTGGTGGTCTCATAGGCCATAGCATAGCTCTTCGAGGCGCGCGCGGATCGCGTCTCGTGTCTGGTTCTGGTCGGGCGGCGAGTTACCCATGCTCGCCGTCCGCAGGCCCGTGAACCTATTTCGGGATAGGATGAATACTCTGGTGGTAAACGATTAACGTCTCCCGTGGATATCTGCAACACTAAAAGAGTTAAAGTACTGTACGCATACTAATGTTAAACTAATGACAAATGAGCATGCTAATTTTGAGCAACTTTCCGACACACACACTACTAAGTGTCTAGTGCTCAATTGAAGCCTGCTCGTGCTTGAAATTAGCATGTGTAACAGTACAGCGTCACAGATGCGTTGCCAACCTTATATCTACTTACCAGATACCAATATCATGAACCCACGAACCATGTGTGGGAGAGCCATGTTTCGGCACAAATGGGCCGGCTCGATCGAAATGATAACACGGCCTATTAAAAAACCTACGTGAAACAACGCTTGCGTTGTATCTCGTCGTGTGGGTGAGGCTACCGCAGGCCCAATTACCCTCCCCTTCCCTAATCTCCCCAATTCCTGAATCTCCAACGATACTCAAACTCCTAATCCCCAAAAGGCCGGTAACGCACTTCTAATGGCTCGTGTGTTCCAGGTGTCCATGGGCGACACCGATTGCTTACCAACAGGTGATCCGTCGGCTCGTTTACCTCGCTTATGCCATAAAAAAAAACGTTCTTTTATGTGGTGGAATGGATTCTTATTTTCTAACTTGCTTAATATCTATTAGAAGTTGGGACACAACATTTCAATGAATACAATCATAATATCACGCTCTTTATCCCCAAAGGGGTAGGCAGAGGTTCACATTACGGCATTTAATGCCGTTGTACAATGTAACACCCACTTATCACTATTTATGTTATGAGTCCCATGTAATAGGGGGTGAGCCTATTATAATATACCGGGCACGATCACAGATTTAGCAAAGACATTTTTTTTAAACCCAGTAATACATTGCCTGACCCGGTAATAGAACTCAATACTCCTTGCCCGATAGTCGCACTTGCGACCACTGTGCCAACGAGAAGTGCCAGTGAATACAATCACTACGCATTTAATTTAATACAGTATAAACAACAAGGTCCTGACACACATGGTCAGCGTACAATGGGTACAAGACATTCAAGTATCAATATATTCAGCTAATCGGTCCATTGTCCACTAATCTGTATTTTCCTTCTTTCGCACGTTCGTCATCATGGAGGTTCCTTGTGTTTAGACATACGATAAAAATATGTATATGAAAACTAATGAAGTAAATCATTAGTATGTAAATTCCCAACCCCAGTTTGTGCATTTGTTATCACTACATTGTATAAAACAAAGTCGCTATCCAACGTCTGTCTGTATGCTTAGATCTTTGCAACTACGCAACGGATTTTGATGCGGTTTTTTTTAATAGATAGAGTGATTCTTAAGGTAGGTTTATTTGTATAACACATGCATATTACATCCGCGTGAAGCCGGGGCGGGTCGCTAGTTAAAAATACGATGATGACATGATCCTGTATATGCGATGTATACAACCATCTGAATGTGATGTTTAATCTTAATTTGCATTATGTAAAACCGAAGAGATTGTTTATTTGTTTGTTTGAATGCGCTAATCTGCGGAACTATCGGTCCGTTTTTAATAATAGTGTGTTTATTGTTTCAAACACCAAGCTACGATCATTAGGAACTGGGCCGAGGAGTGCGGGCGAAGTAAATACCTAGTAAATTAACAACATTATTAAAGAATGAAGGTTATAATTGGGATGATGACAGGGTATGAAAATTAAAAATCTAATTAGTCCGTAAGTTAGGAAATTAAAAAATATTAGACACGTATTTTTTTATTTTTGTCGTATAAGAAAACAATACTTAGATACAACGAATCAAAGTTTCGAAGTGGAGGCTAAAACGTCATTTCTACGTATAAAATGTACATAGAAGTGACGTCACGCGAAATTGCAAATAAAAAATACGTGTCTAATGATTTAAAATAATCTAACAGACGGACATTAAAATAAAAATTAGGCATCTACCCTATTAGATTCCTTGAAGTATCACCTGAAAAAACAATTTATTCATTTCTATACCACTATGTACCTCTAATTTTTAGGCTATCTATGTAACAGGTAATCGCCTCGCACGCGCGTGTCGTGTACAATTATGTGCACAAAATCCTACTGATTATTTCAGTAATACTTGCTAATCCTAATATCTAAAATTGTGGCGATAGGAATGATGGTTGCAGCTCTATCAGGCTTAATCTCATTCTGAGCTGATGAACTTTGTCACAATAAATGTAGGTACCTACAAACAACACGTTGACCTATCCAAATAGTATTGTCGCGGAGAACCTAACGGGTTACCGGGGCTTCGCGCTCCGGCTCGATGTGCAGGAGAAGGAACGGGGTGGTTTTTAGTCAGTAAGAGTCTGACACTCCCTCCCGCCTCACCCAGGCGGGAGCAGTCATTCGATGATTATCCCCCTTAAAAAAATCTAAATAGAATTACGACTGTATTATCTAAGGGTAAGGTAAAAATGTCGTAGGGGCTCGGAGGTCTAAGACGCCCGCTTCTTATGCATGAAGGTGCGGGTTCGAAACCTACTAACGGCAAGTACCAGTGTGACTTTTTCCGAGTTATATGTACTTTTTAAGATTATCTAGACATCATTGGCAAACGGTGAAGGAAAACATTGTGAGGAAACCTGGGCTTGTAATTTCTAATTAACCAACCCGCATTGAGCAAGCGTGGCGATTAATGCTCAAACCTTCTCCATGTGAGAAGAGGCCTTTGATCAAAGTCAAAGTCAAAATTATTTATTTTAATTAAACCAGGAAGGCACTTTTGAACGTCAAAACAAAATATTTAAATAATAAATAATAAGAAAAATTGGTCAGCAGTGGCCACTTATAGGCTGTTGATGTGAAGGTTCAAAATCCGCTATAGAGGTAGTACCTACTCATTCATTACGGACCTGGGTATTCTATGAATTGGTCTAACTATTTACTGTGTTTGTTTATTGGCCTGATAAATAAATAGCTTATTATATAAGACTAGCGACCCGCTCCGGCTTCGCACGGCTGCAATATGCATGTATTATACATAAAAACCTTTGATAAGAATCACTCTATCTATTAAAAATACCGCATCAAAATCCTTTGCGTAGTTTAAAGATCTAAGCATACATAGCGACGAACAGACGGCGGATAGGGACTTTGTTTTTCACTATGTAGTGATGTATCTTGTCAGTATTTGTATTTACCCAAGTCAACAATTACACTACAGCAGTATAATAGTAGCCAGTAAAAGTAATTCATTACTTACCGCCGCAAATGTGTTTCTTTGTTTAGGTAATTTTAATAGAGCTATAAAGTCATGACGTTGTGTCTGAAGTTTTCCTTACTTACTTACAGTAAGTATTGTTCTACCATAAATATCCAATACGATGCAAAATAAGATTGTTATTTTAATAAACGATGGTCAGAGGCCTTAGTACGAGTTCCATATACCTCCGTTTAAAGTATTCGAAACGAGTACGCGTTCGGCTCTCCAAATGGCCGGCACCAATGAACCAACCAATCAGAACGCCGAACGCGTACTCGTTACTATACTTTAAACGTAAAACAGACTCGTACTAAGGCCTCAGAACGATTATAGTATGGCTTTCGCGGAAAAGCCCATGGATGGATTACTATCTAAGAAATATAACTTTTCTTCGTAGGTAGCTTATATCCATTTCTAACATCAATATTTTAGTTAGAATTAGGTTCAGAATTAAGCAGTATTAAGTTCTTGCAGTAAATACAATGTCGGTACCTACCATTACGTCGACATTTTCCTTATCTATAACATTTTGAATGAAAGTATAATTTTATTCAAACAGCCAAAGTTATAACACAAAACAAATAAGTAATTGTTTAAATAAATATGTATGATTGTTATCATCCCCATATTTGCCCAGTCGGTGGCGGTGTCGCTTATCTTAAATCATATCTAAATAGTTGTAATCAACTCAAAATCTGGCATTTTTTAATTACACAATTGAACAACTATGATAACATGAGTACTTGGAACTGTCAGAACGAGGATATATCTTGTGTTATGATGGGCAAATACATAACTTACCTATTAGCATATATATAAAATTACACTGGTTCATCCAATTAAACGTTTGATAGTTTTAAAGATACGCATTTTTACCTAATTTCAGTCAATCATTAAGTCAGGTAATTGAGATTGTTGAAATATGAGACCTCCTTAAATCATTTTGTACTACATGTAAACAGTAAAAGTAGTTATTGAACTTATTAATTTGGGGTCCATTTATGTGTGTCTATTCAGTGAAGGATTCTTCAGTATCCCTGATAACTACTTAAGTAATAATTTTGGCTTTTAAAATCTGAGTAGTTAAGTTATAACGTATATCACATGGGACTCGTACATAAACTTGTGAAAAGTGAGTGTTAGTTCATTTACTCACCATCAGGGGGCTTACTCTTCAATCCAATTCCGATCGATTGACATTGACATTGTGAAATTTCGTACTCTTGAGTCGCAACACTAGCGCCCATTGCATCCGTATTGCGTGGATGTTGAATGAACTAAATGGTATTGAGTGTGGCTCTAAATTCCGTACTCTGAATGCTATTTCAACAGCTACGGTAGGGGTTGTATAGTTTTGACATTGAATCATTATTGAGATTTTATTGGATTGAAATTGCATTAACATTGAGATTGGTTTCAAGAGTAAGCACCCAGGTGTCATGTTATAAAACGAATGCTTAATTTTTCACTCGGCCATATAATATTATGTTACATATGTTTAATATTTCCCTCAATATGTTTCAGGTGTAAGGTGCCAGAATGCGAGGCGTCACCGCCGGAGTTCGAGGCCGGCAATTGGGGCACGTTTGCGCTACCCGACGCTGGGGCGCGCTGCGAGCGTCTTGTGCCACTGGGGGAGGAGTGCGCGCCTTCCAGCTTCAGTGCCAACCAGACCAAGCGGTGCCAGTCCTGGGTTTATGAGAATCAGAACACTATAGTACCTGAGGTGAGTTAACTGTCTAATTTTTGATGAAAGAGTTCTGTGGAGCACTTCTTTTATTCTGCGGCGGGGTGGCCAGAAGGTTTCCTATGTTACGGTTTTGTATGTTATAAGTCCCATGTTACTAATTAATCCTCATTATTACAAGTAGTGGCCACGTGCCCACTTTAGAGGACTTTGTGTAAGTAGCATTTAATTATCAAGTATCCAGATTGATAGTTAAGTAGTATTAGATTTAGCGAGCGATCAAGCGAGTTTGTAATTACATGTTATTGGAGAGGCTCTTACGTGAATTATGTATGTACAATAAGCTATTAGAAGAAAGATAATAATGATTTTATCTGATCGCAATTCGGCGGCCTCGGCACTTGATGTTTTATTGTAGGCAAATAATTTAGATTATTTCATGACTTAAATACAATAATTTAGTTTGTAGTTAGAATCGTGATATGACATATCCAGCAAAATCTTCGTCAATTTACATTATTAGTTATATACGTAAATTTGACGTTCAGTAATGTGACTGTGAACAGTATGGTACCTCGCAGTACACTCGGCTACACATCGAGCTTTACATAACCAGTATAAACTGAACGATAAATGTGCGGAATACATACATAGTGTCATAGCATTTAAAAGAAACTCGTGTTAGTTCCACTATTTATAACTCAAGAATGGCTAAGTCGATTTGTATGAAAATTGGTGTGGCTTAGAACCAGGACGAGAGACGGACGGATATTTTTACCGAAAATCACGAATGCAAACGGGAAAAACGAGATCTCGCGTATAAAGTGGCACAGAAGCTAGTACTTATTAAATAAATACAGTATCAAATAGAATAACGTAATGTAATGCCACTTAACCAAGACCATCATAAATGCTAAATTGTAACTTTAACTTTTTACTGCGTTTCAGTTCGACTTGGCGTGTCAGGAGTGGCTCCGTACTCTGGTGGGCACCATCCACGTGGCTGGTGTGTTCGGCTCGCTGCCCGTCACCGCCTACATATCTGATGCGTGAGTATACACTTCTAGCGGACTACCAAGTTACTTCTAGCAGGCGGTAATATCGTCTCCCAATAGGTATCGTCTCCCAATTACCACGGCCACGAGTGTACATATCTTTATATATATTTATAATTCTGCTGTACGTGTGTATGTCATTGAATTCCTCCTAAACGGCTTGACCGATTTAAATGAATTTTTCTGTATGCGTTTGAGTGGCGCCCTGGATGGTTTAGATTCACAAATCAGCCCGGCAGATGGCGCTGTCGGGTCTTTTTTTTAAGGGGGGAAAATCATCAAATGACTGCTCTCGCGCCTGGGTGAGGCGGGAGGGAGTGTCAGACTCTTACTGACTAAAAACCACCCCGTTCCTTCTCCTGCACGTCGAGCCGGAGCCCCGGTTACCCGTTAGGTTCGGTCTAGGTTATTTATCTACTATATATATTATATTATATACAGGACAACGTCTGTTGGGCCCGCTAGTATATGTATACATATCTATGTACTACTACTACTTACATAAAGAAATTAGATCATATAAAGTAAATACCACATTATTACTTAATGACCTCTCACCTGGGAAATTCTGAGTACCTACGGTAAAACCAGGAGATATACTTTTGTATGCTTTTGCACTGAGACATACAACCAAGTCGATTAAGATAGAGTTAGAGATTCTTTTGATAGATAAAAAAATGGTTCATCTACGAAACTAATGTAATTAAAATCGGGGCATCTGCACCACTGTCCAATCTGTCCCAGTTTTACACTATTACCATAATCTAGATTATAGAGAGTCAATTTTCAAGTTGAAAAAATCTGAAATTTTCTACTGGGATAACATAACATTACAAACTAACTAATAAAAATATTATCGAAGAGAAAGATAGGTAAAAATATAACCACCCTCTATGTGTTAAAATAATAAAAAGCAACGTTTAACTGGAACAATATATTGCTCCCCAGGTATGGTAGGCGTACAGCACTGGTGATCACGGCGGTGTCTCCAGCAATTATGGGCGTCATCCGAGCATTCTCAAATTCATACATCATGTACATCTGTTTCGAATTCCTGGAGGCCTTCGTCGGCGCCGGCGTCTACAGCACTGCATTCATTTTAGGTGACTGATTATATTCATTTTTACAGAGTAAAGTATTTGTAGAACCTCAATATTTCAATAAGTAGGTAATGCAGAGGTATGAAATTGAAAGATTAACAGTCACAACATAACTTAAAAATGAACATCAAAATCTGTTACAGCTCTTGAGATGGTGGGTCTGGACAAGCGTGTTCTGGGAGGGAACCTAATCTCCAGCACATTCGCACTGGGACAGGTAGTGACTGCAGGTGTAGCCTGGCTGGTGCCTTACTGGAGGACCTACACCCTCGTTCTCTACGCACCCTCGGTCCTTTTCATCTCATACTACTGGCTTATTGAAGAGAGTGTGCGCTGGTTGCTCAGTAAGGGGCGAAACAAGGAAGCTGCTAGAATTATTTTCAAAGCTGCGAAGATGAACCGAAGGAAGTTGTCTCCAGAGACTATTAAAACTCTGACAGAAGAACCGGATCCAAAGAAACCAACTCAAACGGATGAAGTAGAGGAGCCGGAAGACAAGCGGGGTATACTGCTGCAGGTTGTAAAGTCCAAGACGCTGATGTTCCGTCTGATTGTGTGCTCGTTCTGGTGGATCACGCTGACGTTCGTGTACTACGGGCTGTCCATCAACTCAGTGTCGCTGGTGGGCAACAGCTACGTCAACTACATCCTGACGTCACTCGTGGAGATCCCTGGCTACTGCCTCAGCGTGCTCACACTCGACAGGTTCGGCAGGAAGAGCTCCACCATGACTGCGTTCATCATTTGTGGGATATCATTAATAGCGATGCCATTCGTACCAGAAAGTAAGTTATTTGAAAGTTTACAGATACATTACAATACTTTTAAGAAACAATGGGGTAGACGACTAATTTTTATTTTAATGTCTGTCTGGTAGATTATTTAAAAACATTAGACACGTATTTTTTATTTTCTTACGGAAACGAATAGTTTCGAAGATATATTGATTTGAAATGTCGCGTGACGTCTCTTCTCAGTACATTTTATACTAAGAAATGACGTTTTAGTCCCGACTCCTAAACTTTGATTCGTTTTATCTAAGTATTGTTTTATTATACAACCAAATAAAAAAATACGTGTCTAATATTTTTTTATTACCTAAGTTACGGACTAATTATATTTTTAATTTTCATACCCTGTCATCATCCCCATTTTAGTAGTAATATTAGTATTTTTTAATAGAAATGGTACTATTGTCTTTTTTTGTAATATGCCCTTTTTATATCAAATATTTTCTTAATTACAGCAATACCCTGGCTGCAGACGACATTGAACTTGCTGGGCAAGCTATGCATTAGCATGGCGTTCAGCAGCATCTACATCTACACGGGAGAGTTGTTCCCCACGCAGGCGCGGCACCGCCTGCTCGGCACCTGCTCCATGGCTGGCAGGATAGGAGCGCTCGTCGCGCCACAGACACCACTGCTGGTCAGTCACGCATATTAATCTCAAACGAAACTCATTCTGTTAAAACTTATAAACTCAGCCCCGATGCTTTTTATTTTTTTGTATTTTAGTTTTAACTTTTGTGGTCGATGCAGATATTTTCAATTTGAGGATCACAAAAAAGCACAATAGCCAGTTGCCTAACCACAGCACCAAACGGGCAGTATTCTATTATCATACCACAATTCTGATTTAATCACTAATTCACATCTCCTTCTTTTACAGATGGCATACATGGAGTCGCTCCCCTACTTAATATTTGGTATAATGGCGGGTACCTCCGGTCTGCTGATGATGCTGACGCCGGAGACTCTGAAGGCTAACTTACCTGACACCGTTGCGCAGGCAGAGAATATGGACAAGAAAAAGACTACTGTGCAGTAGCACAAGAATCAACCCTATGGCTTATGGCTTAAGATAGATCTTATAAAAACAATGCATTTCAACGGTAAGTAGGAAGTATCTTTTAGGTAGTATTTCGTTTCGTTAAAATTGCATATTTTCCTCTTACATTAATTTATTTTGTAAAGAAGATAATATTTTATCAAATCATAAGAATTTGACGTGGTAGTGAGAAGCCATTGCATTACGTTAGATAGAAAATGGATGTCTACATATCGGATTAATTTATTTGTAAGATATAAGTTTTATATTATGTGTAAGCATTAGTGAATAATAATATAGGCAGAGTTTCAAGTGTACATGTGTAAATGATTCTGATATAGAAATAAATGATTAATTTTAAGAAAATATTTTTATGTTATATTAATATGTAAAGGCCACTAAATATGACAACAGAACCATTGCGAGACATACTGAATTACTTTTCTTTTTGACGTGAGTAACCCAAAAATATGTTTGAGTTGATACAGAACCATTGTAGAGGTACAAAGTTTAACAATCAAGACGGCATACTTCATGTAAGTTGGTACTTGGTAGACTTTAACAGACATTGGCGCCTCTAGCGGTCAATGCAAGTAACTTTCAAATTGAAAATTTTAATTAAGGTTTGAATGTCTACACGTTGAAGACTATCTATACGTTGAACGCTTCTGAACTTTCGTTAAACTTAGATTAATGTTTCAATAATAAAAAGTATTGTATGTATATTATGTATTGTAGTAAATACTGACAATGTTGTGATGCTCGTGATAAAGTTTAGTCAATTTAATGTTAAATATTTAAATTCCTTAGATATAGTCAATATACGTAGTACAATGTAAGTATTAACTATTTATTTTATTTATTTGTTGCTTTTACTATTGTCTAGTAATTTCGAACATGACAATTGATCGCAATTAAAAAATATGTAACTAAATTGAAATTCCGGTTGATACTGGAGAAAGTGTAATGATATCATTAGTAAGATATTTATTGATAAAATAATTATTATAATACATACATAGAGGTATATGCGCCGTCTCGTCACACAATTTACGACGCATTTTGAATTTTCCTTGAGATTAGCCTTTGTGATTGAAAGTCGGTCAGGGAAATATTTTTAATGCTTTTCATATGTTACTTAATAAGATATTTAACCGAAAAGATAAAAGATGGATGGAGAGTAAGGTGACTCTTTTCGTTATACAGGTTGTAAACAGAACACTCTCGGTAACGCAGACAGGTGATAGTAAAAAACGAGTTTTTATTAAAAAAAAAAAGTAAAGAATGAAATGTTTATTTTATGTAATGATAGTTCTAATCAACTGCCCAAGGCTGATATTGGACACAAAGCACACACAAACACGAAAACAAAAACGAATAAAATTGCATAGATTGTCTGTGTTTTCAATAGTGTTCCATTGACACTCTATATTTGTTATTGTAGGAAGAAAGAAGTCCAAACTAGACCATTATGACATCTATAGCCTAAGTACAATTTATAAACTCTGTACCATTATAACTGTTGTGTCACTTGTAAATTGTCACAGTACAATTTACAAGTGTGATTATGTAAGTGAATTAATGTTAAGTTAACGAAATATGTATAAACTAAGTTTAAGTTCCAACTATGCATTACACAATGAAATAGTTGCAGTTGTAAAGACAATGTCTTTTGTTTTTATTAAGTTTTACGTATACATTATAAATGTACGTATTTGAAAATAATAACGTTGCTGATGTAAGATATAACTAAATAATTGTTGAATAAATAAACAAAACTTCTATAGATATTTATTACTCGTTCAATTTCATTCTATTTACCCATCTACTTCAAAAATAAAAAGCCCAAGGCGAAGTTCGGCAGATTGAGTTTTTATACAATTTCAGAATAGGTATAGACAAATAGGAACCTTTAATAGATATACATAACTGAAAAATCAAAGGTGTCAACAAGACCTATCCCAATTGGGGACAAGATTTTAACGTAATCCCTAGCTTATTTTAAATCATTAGACACGTAATTGTTATTTTCTTACAGAAATGAATACTTTCGACGATATATTGATTTGAAATGTCACCTCTATGTACATTGTATACGTAGAAATGACATTTAACCCCGACTCCTAAACTTTGATTCGTTTTATCTAAGTATTGTTTTATTATACGACAAAATAAAAAAATACGTGTCTAATATTTTTTCATTACCTAACTTACGTACTAATTCGTTTTTTAATGATCATACCCTGTCATCATCCCAATTATGACCTTTATTCTTTAATAATGTTATTAATTTACTAGCTACTTACTTACTACTACTAGATCTTAGCATCATCTTACAATTAAACTGAAAACTCAACTTAAACTCGCGCAGAATCTTGAATGTCAGGTGAGCAATTTTAGTAAATTCTAATGTCGTTTTTTATAAAATTTTCGTCGTGAATAGATCTCGTAATATAATATTTATGACAATAGACAAGGTAGAAGAAGTAGCGATCAGAAGCTAGCAACCAATTAATAGATAAAATAAATATTTTAACAGATATCATAAACGCATCAGTTAATAGCTGGAGATACCAACAATATATCTGATATTGCAGATTAGGGAACTGTAGCTCAACATTGATAGCAAACAGATTATCTGCGTTATCAACAGATAACGATATTACAATACGCATTATAATAATTTGAAAGTCCATACACATAAATTAATTGATTACTGTTATATATTATGATAAAATACTGTAATTTATAACATACCTACTGATATGCGTCACGCCTATTATCTAGGCTTGGTTTCGGGAATTCATAACTGGATTTATTCGGTTTTTTGGCTTCAAGGTCAGCGCAGTAACCAGGCCGGATGCTGAGGAATATATTTTTTAATGTGAGGGGCTATGGCAGTAGTGTGGTATATTAATTCTAATTAGTATTAATTAATTAGCTAGCTATGAAGTAGTTTAAGCTTAAAGCTCATCACTAAACATAGAGCACAATTTCAGGACTTGTGGGTGAAGTGTGCTTTGTAACAATTATTTCAAGTGTGGGAGAGCCATGCTTCGGCATGAATGGGCCGGCTCGACCGGAGTGATACCACGGCCTCATAGAAAACCGACGCGAAGCACACCCTTCCCCAATCGCCCGAATCCCCAACAATCCTCAAGCTCTTAGGAGTTAAGTTTGGGGATTAGTCCCCAAAAGGCCGGTAACGCACTTGTAACGCCTGTTCCAGGTGTCCATAGGCGACGCCGATTGCTTACCATCAGGTGATCCGTCCGCTCGTTTACCGGCTTATGCCATAAAAAAGAGCCTTGTGTAGATTCCTAGATCAGACAAAGCGTTATTAAACTCTGTTTTCGAAAGGCGAACTCAACTGTCTTCGGGAATCGAACCTGTGAGTCACATTTTTAAAAATTATAATTTATTTGATGGGCCGACGTTTGGCCACTATCTCATCTGGTGGTAAGCAATGATGCGATCTACGATGGAGAACGTCGTCCCATAAGCACCTATTCACTCGGGCCTTGAAGACACCCAGGTTATACTCTTCAGGAAACATAGACTCTGGCAAAGAATTCCACTCCTTAGCAGTACGCACATTCAATTAAGTAGGCAGTCTCACTTAAGAATGCCTAGAATGTATAACACATACACCTGTATCTGTACCTGTCTGTACCTACATAGCTCATGCATCGGTACCTAAACCATGTATCAACAATTCTATTTTACCTAATTTTTATCAATCAAGTAGTCGTTCACTACTAACATTGACATTCAGAAATATTTGGATTTTACGGGGAACCACTAATGTATGCCTTCCACAACCTTCACAACATTTGATCTAAATTCATTATTACGTTTTCGGCTTAGGTTTTCACATAACTGTTTGACGAGGAACTCGACTAGTGTCAAGCCATACTAGAGGCTAATATTCATGAGCAGCATTCCACGACCCGAGACGCAGTGACTGTCGCGCTCACTTAATAATTAATTGAGTATGTCTACGAAAGTTATATTATAAACATTTGATCTGATAATACATGAAGTTATGTGTAATATTAAATGCAACTTATTTAGCACGCGCTTTTTTCTATTTAAATAAACGTTGCCCCACTCTAGGATTCTTTCCTGTGTCGTTGATGCGTTCACAAACATACAAGTTCACATATGTATACATGACACCCCGACCCGAAACAACAATTTGTGGATCACACAAGGAGTTGCTCTGTTCAGAAATCGAACCCGCTAGCTACAGTTGCCCCGTCACCGCGCCAACCTTACAGTTCTGTAGTTAACTATATAGGTACCTACGAAAGTATGTGGCCTTCAAACATACGTCACCTTTGTTAAAATTAGTATATTGCAGTAAGCTAAAAGAATGTCAGCTTTCGATTACTATAATTGGAATTAAACAATTAACTGCAACCATGTCTACAATCCGCACTATCTCCAGCGACACGAATCAACAAGGAAAATATTTGCGAATACTTTTTAAGTTTCTCTTGTTTTTAACATTACATTGTAATCATTTATCGGTATCTAGCCGGTACTATGTATATACAAATATTCAGTATATACACACGTATACATTTCAATGTCGCTCTCGTTCTATGATACGATCAATCAATTTATTATAATAATCGACCGTTATCTCTATAATTCCCGATATTTGCAAGTCGTATCGAATTCAAACTGAGGATAATATAAATAATATCAATATTTACATATCCTTCGCCTGTTGATTACAATGTTTTATCAACAATTGTGTTTTACAGCTCCCCATGGCGGGCGGCGAGTACCAAATCAACTTAATTATCCTTTCGACTAAATGCTCTTGTATCAATCCAGTTTTATAGATAAGACGTCAGCTGATATCCGGTTCCATGATTATACTTCCCTATTTGTATAAGTGAAAAGGGTTTCATACCTTCAACGTTCGTTCATATAGTAATGTGCTACGCGATGCTCCGTGCTACGCATTGCTACGCGCTACGCAATACTACGAGCTACGCCATCTAAGTTTTACTAACTAGGTAGGTATGTAAGTGTATATGATATCAAAGCTTATATTGTTAGGACAAATTCGACGAAACAATAGATATATATATATATATATATCTATATTGCATACATATCATCAGTTATAATCATGTAGTCGCGTATATCGCGCAGTTCCAAAAATATTTGTTCAAAATATTGCGTACGTGAGGAACAGTCAGTTTACGTCACCACACTCATAATATGTTGGGTAAGTACTTCTAATTGAATGTCAAATACCTTCGAAAATAATAAACCCGATATATAATATTATCAAAAAGGAAGATTATTCATATCTAAAAGATTTATTGAGTTTAGACTACATAATGAAAGTATGAATGTTTATCCTTCGATGCATATTAAGATAATACAGGTCACCGGTGACGGCAACCTATTGTTCTATAATTGTGTCTATAATGACGGTACTCGACGAGTTAATAGCGTCAACAAAGGAAATATTCAAATTGTTTGGCAATGACATGATTGACCTTGTAAGGTACCTATATCTGATCTATATGATCAGATATAGGTACCTTACAAGGTCAATACAGTTCAGTAATCACAAAGTATTATGATAAACAGGAGGTATCATCAAAAGAGGTTTTACCAAGTGATATAATAAAGCAATAATCTTTTGCACAGATACCATGTATTGCTGGAAGTACGTGTGTAATTGTATAATGTTCGGTTAGCAACACGTGTTGCAAGACCCCTGGCCGAGAGATATCTATGTTTGTGAGTGCTCCTTGGCTAATCTGAGATTACACCACACCCACAGTGCAAAGACGGAATGACGCAGTGACTGCACATTATATGAACTTACTGCGATACTATCGAAGGATATAATAACATAAAATCACGCCTTTTATCCCCGAAGGAGTAGGTAGAGGTGTACATTATGCCACTGTACAACGTAACACCCACTTTCCACTATATTTATGTTATGAGTCCCATGTAATAGGGAGTTAGCCTATTCCCATCTACCGGGCACAATTCGTAACTTCTTCTTTTTCAAAATTCTCAGTAGTAACTGAAATTTTTTTTTAAATCCCACTAATACTTTTCCCGCCTAGAAATTGAACCCGAGACCCCTTGCGACCACTCGGCCAACGAGGCAGTCTAACGAAGGATTTAATATTGCATTTTAAGCACTTTAAAATAAGTAATTTATTTATTCGTCCAAGTCACTTTTAATGTAAAATAATAAAACATTATATCTGTCGGGCCTTTATATTTACCGTGGCCCTGGAAAAGAATAGGAATGGAGCGGTAATTTTATCAGGAAGTGCCTTTTCACACGTTCCGGTTGCCGGGTAGCCGGCGTCGGTTAACCGGCGGGGCAGTATACAAAATACTCAGGAACGTGTGAAAACTACAGCTTTATGTACTTATAGCTACAATACATTAAGCTGTATTAACAAATGCAATACCAAATACCCGGTAACAGGAGCGTGTGAAAAGGTACTAAGAGTGTCAGAGTCAGTCTCACCCCGCCAAGGACGATAGGAATCATTTGTCAATTTTCCATCCTTCAAAAAAAGAGCATAGGTAGTAAAAATCTTAATGTGTATATGAACTCCTAAATGCGAAATGGTCATGTTTTAAAAACTGCCGCTATGCTAGATCGTGGCTAGAAGTTCAATATCATAGACTCTAATCTTGGCTCAAGAAACATGAATGAATTATGACGATGATAATTTATGTCTCTTTCACAGTGAAAGCTGATATAATTTGTAGAATTTAACTCGTCGAGTACCGGTTTTGCAGACACAATTATAGAACAATAGGTTGCGGTTTCCGGTGACCGCTTGGTGTTTGACAGTTTAAAGACAATACCAATACACGTGCTGCGAGACACCCAGTAGATACTTATCAGCTGCTGTACTGCTGCACATATCTGCAATAAATATGTGATAAACAAACACGTTTTAGGATTAACAGCCTTCATTCGACCTGCAACATGAAGTTAAGAGTAGGTATTGCTTTATTTTGTTACATGTTGTTTCTTTGTTGGCAGTCTGCTGAGCACGTGTTTCTGATAAGATAGAAGTGTAGTTATCATCATTACCATCATCCCGTTTCCGTCCAGTGTTGGACATTGACCTATTTAATAACCATTGATCTCAATGTTACTTTTTCGGACTAGTCCGCCACAACCCCAGTAAGCCAGGATCAAGGAAAACATCGGAACACTGAAGTCTTGGATCCCGCAAAGATCAGAAATCAGAAGATAGTATTAGAGAAGAAGAAAAGAATGATAGTTTCCACTTGCCTCGGTGAATTTAATGCAGGAGACAATGATCTCAATGTTCAGCAATTTGTTTATAATCTGCCCCCTTTTGCAGAAATCATACCTAACTTACAAAATTACCCCATCTCTGAAGGGGCGTCACTTGTCTCGACTGCCGTCAGTTCTGTAACATTGGCAACCTGCGTACAGTCACTATACTTTTCATAGACAGAAATGTGTATAAAACATTTATAGTTTTTATTTTACGTAAATACTACTTATAATTTACAACTACGAGCAATTCAGTTAGGTAATAGTTGTGCGCTGGCTGAAACAGAGGATGTTTATTACAGCGATAAAATCATACGGTAAAGAGCTGCGAATTTTATTCGTGATCAAACAATAGGAGGAAAATGAATTTATCAATTATATAAAAATTCAAGCCATTGCACACGTTGTTGTATATTGTTATTGTACATAATTCATTATTACCTTTCAGCTCAAGGTCACCACTAATAAATGTCATTAAACTAATTATATATGACTAGTTGCTCACCCTGACTTTCACAGTGCTTTCATAATTTTCAACCTTTAAAGTTTTAGTGTTCTTTAGCAAGGAGTGGAACTCCCTTGACTAACTAAACATTATTGACCCATAGTAGGGTCTGCCTTATGTATGGCCAACTTCTAATTTGTCTGCAGAAATTAACTAGATCTGAATCTATGACAAAATAAGAAAATACTTTTACGAGTTTATTATACCAGCACCGCACTCACTTGTTGTCTTTATTTAACTCCTTATCACTGAATAAATAAATTATGGTCAGGGCCGCCAGCAGCGACCTGAGCGCCCTCGTACAATGTAGTGCGCTTATAGCCGCCCCACGATACCATGCTGAGTTCAATGGTGCTGCTCAATGTATCAATATTAACAAAACTTTATAAATATTGTTTATAAATATTAGGTGTAATTTTTTGAGGTGGATACTTGTTTCGAGATGATTGTTAACTGAAGTTAAAGCCATGTACTCAAAGAACATAATCTATATATAAAAGAAAGTCGTGTTAGTTACACTATTTATAACTCAAGAACGGCTATATCGCTTTGGATGAAGATTGGTGAGGATGTAGCTTAGAACCAGGAAACGGACATAGGATACTTTTTACCCAATACTTTTTTTTTATTTTTAACCGAAAATCAAGAACGGCTACGGGAAATATCGGAATTGCGCGTACGAAGTCGCGGGCAGAAGCTAGTTATTAATAAAACTTTGGTGCGGCGCCCAATGTCGGTGGACGTCGTCGCGGTTTGGTTAAGGTCGGGTGCCCGAGAGCCGCATCGGATGACTTCGTGCTACCTCGGCACTCGTAAGGATACTTAAGGATTCCGACATGCCGAGATTATCTTCGGATAACACCTACTTTAGTTTGATAACAACTAGAGGAAAATACAAAGCCATAGCCTTATTAATTACATAACATCACGCCTTTTATCCCCGAAGGGGTAAGCAGAGGTGCACACAGAAGCAACACCCACTTTTCACTATTTATGTTACGAGTACTATGTAATAGGGGGTGAGCCTATTGCCATATACCGCACATTTTCATCCAAAAAAAATTCTCAGAAGTTGCACGCCTTATTAATTACACATACATAAATGATATATTAGGTCTAACTGGTTTAACAACATCCTGACAGAATTTGTTCGTCGTTGGATGCATTCCAGGGTAAAGACGGAACCCATTAGAATGATAAGAACAGTATTCCACATGTGCTTAGGATCTTCGCCGTATTAGATCATCAGGCGATGCGCCTGGGTTAAAAGAGAGCCCTCCAGGCTTGTTTATCGCTGTTAATATGTCAACACTAAGCATTCCATTGCTGCCTAAGATATTACCAGTAGAAGGCTCTGAAAGCACGGAGACAAGAATAGCGGCAGATTTTTAGCAGACAATTCGCAATTTAAGGTCTTGATTTCAGATACAAATCTCAATGTGGAAAAAGAACAGCTTTTGCTGTCATCTGCATAAACATTAATGTCATTTATTTGCAACATTTCATAGACATGAAAGAGGAACAGAGTAGGCCATAGTATGCATCCTTGAGGGACACCAGCGTTTACATACATGAAGTCGTCAACCAGTTTTATACATCTGCGCTAGAGCTGAAACTGTAGACCGGAATTTTTTTTCAATGTCGCAAAATTTTCCGTTCGTAGAATAGAATATTGAATACTTCAATAAAATTTAGGCCGTAACCAATCGTGAACAGGCGTTGAGAAGTAAGCTCAAAGGGATTTTCCTAACTTTTCCAGTCCTACCTTCCATAGACAAAGAATACTTGAATGAATAGGGCGCCACCAAGTCGAAGCCAAAGTTCCATCTGTTGACAGACGACGCTCGATATTGCTGTTTCGTCTTAATAGATGCCAATAGCTAGTGATTATGTTAAGATTGTGCATGCCCTCTGTTAGGCTTTTCCAGACTATTACGAGTCACTCGATTTACCGCTCCCTTTGACGAGCCGCCCGCTTACGGCGGCCCTGATTATGATAATCCTTAAGAATTATCTGATAAATTTTCCTCTTTGCTACTTATGTACTACTAGTTCTGGCTCACTTCACTAGGACACATGGCTTGAGACGCCACGTGCTCCTATTGGTTGGTTACAATCACAATCAGTAAAGTAAATGGTCATGGACGGAGAAAGTAAAAATAATACGGCGGTTAGCCCAGCGCCTGAAAATGGTAACGCATCAAATATTGGCGAGGTGCCCAGTGTACACAACTCGGGAGACGATCCCAGCACACCAGAAGCTGCAGCTAGAAGGAAAGGAAGTCAGTTTGAGAAACGCAAGGACAGCGTGTTCGACAAGCCAATAGACCTGGACTATGTGCTAGTGAACGAAATAGGCCAGTTTGGCCGCTACCAGATGTTCAACTTGCTGCTCGTATCCGTCCCCATCATCATGTCAGCCTTTATGAGCGAGTACATCTTCTCTGCGGCCGCTATCCCGCACAGGTACCGTCTACTTATATAATCTGTAAACAAAACTAAACAACTTAGTATTTATAAGATAAGTCGACGTTTAGCAAAACATTTTCCGCATTGAATTAATTATGTTTTACGGCTTTCTCAAGTAACTGTTTCACAAGGTGACTCGAACGCCTTTTATTTCTGTAAAGATGCCGAGTGCCAGAATGTGGAGAAACGACTAAACTCGACCGATTCAATCCAGACTGGGTTCTTCACGCAATTCCTGAGGCTAACAACAACAATGGTTTTGTGAGCTGCGCGCGATATACGCCTATTTACAGCAACGGCTCCTTGGACTACTGTCCCGCCTATCTATTTTCAGAGAACCAACAGAGTTGTGACAGCTACGTCTACGCTAGAGACAATTCCTGTGTTTATGACGTTAGTATAACTTACTGTTCTATTTATCTCGTTTTGCAGGTGAATATTTACTATTTTCACTCTTTTCAAAATCATTATTACAGTTCGATTTGGGTTGTCAAGACTGGCTCCGTGCTTTAGCTGGTACCCTGAACAGCGTGGGTACTTTACTGGTGCTGCCCATCGCCGGTTACATCTCCGATACGTTTGGAAGGCGCGTGGCGCTTGTGATCAGTGTCGTCAATTTGGGTATTTTTGGTATCATTAGAGCCTTCTCCGTCAACTATCCCATGTACCTGGCCTTCCAGTTGTTACAAACTACCTTTGGTGCCGGAACTTTCAGCTCTTCTTATATCTTTGGTAAGAACTGTTGATCTTGGAATATAATGTTGATTACCTTTCAAACATTGCATTAATGACTCATGTCATTTACTTCGTTAGCTACGGAGTTCGTCGGGCCTAAGTACCGAGTGTTGACAAGTGCAACCTGTACTTCTATGTTCGCCGTCGGTCAGGTGATACTAGGATCCGTAGCCTGGGTTGTCCAGCCTTGGAGATATATGATCCTTGCGCTACACATCCCTTGCTTCATTATCATCGCATACTACTGGATTTTACAAGAGAGTGTGAGGTGGCTGCTGTCTCAAAAGAAGTATGATCAAGCTAAAGATGTACTGCAGCGCGTGGCCAAACGGAACCGAAAACAGATCAGTGAGAAGTCTTTGCATGCGTTGATGAACCCTCCCGAGCCTGTGAAGGTTAGTTATCACGACAATAATTGTTTGTTTTTGTGCATTTTTGATAGAATCTAAATCGTTGAAATCAAATCTGACAACTGTGTCATTGACATTACAGGTGGTAGCGGACGGGAATGAGCCAAACCTCTTCCAAGCCATTTTCCGGTCGGGTGTGCTGCTCCGACGTGTCTGCACCACTCCCATCTGGTGGATCACCACCACTTTCGTGTACTACGGCCTGTCCATTAACGCCACCAGCCTGTCGGACTCCATGTACTTGAACTACATCCTGACTTGCGCCATTGAGATCCCTGGTTTCTACACGGCTGTGCTCATCCTCGACAGGATCGGCAGGAAGCCCACGCTGTCTGCCGGGTATCTGTTTAGCGCTGCCTGCAACATCGCCTTCGCTTTTATACCCAATGGTATGTCTGATATTCTTAGTATGTGTATTCCTTTAGTCTGCTGATCTGCAGTATATATCGTGATGTGTATGCTATATCTTTTAATTTATGATATGTAGAGTCCGTGGCTTGCGTAAGTTGGCCTCTATTATACCTATGGCTGTCTGTGATCTATGGCCGGCAGTTATCGTAATCTGTATTGTTAGATATTACTTTATGTATCATTTACTGGTTCTTTGAATTGGTAATCTCACATTTTTGAGATTATACACGCATTACGATTGTAAATATTATTCCTTATTCTTTTTGATTATGATCACGTAAAAAGGTAGGCGCTAATTATTTAATAACTACTACAAAAAGCTACGTTTGACGGATAAATAATAAAGTTTTAGGACCCGATATTACGAGATTGAGAACCACTGCGGTTCCACTGTAGTGTAGCCGGGGTTGTGGTGACTAGCCCAACAAGTGACTTAAAGCTAGTGACCACAATGTTAGTATATGATGATGCTCTGAGCAACACAAGGACAACATTTAACATTTGTTGGCAGACCTAACGACACTCCGTCTCATTGTATACCTGATGGGTAAGTTCGGTATATCAATGGTGTTCACATCGCTGTACCTGTTCACCTCGGAGCTGTATCCCACGCAGTACCGGCACCGGCTGCTGGCCTTCTCCTCCATGGTGGGCCGCATCGGCTCCATCACCGCACCACTCACACCAGTGCTCGTAAGTCATCTCTTGGTGTTTGTAAACTAAGTATACCCATGGATACACTTCATGTGTTTAGTCAGTTTGAATCGAATATGTCTAAACTGCCACCAATGGATGGCAGCATGATTGCGATTTCTAAGACGTCTGCCATGCATGGGCATTGTCGCCTACCTGTACTAAGGGAGGTGCCTGTAGCTACGACATATACATGAGCTAAACGGGATATTCTCTTCAACAGATGGATTACTGGGAAGGTATACCGTCCGTAATGTTCGGTGGTATGGCTGTACTATCTGGTATCCTGGTGCTGACGCAGCCGGAGACGCTAGGCACCAAGATGCCTGATACCCTCGCGGAAGCAGAGGCCCTCGGCAAGCCAGAATCAAAAATAAAAATCTGAACACATACTCAATGTACCTTAACACTAGATGTAAGAATAACGTTACTTCTGTATTGCTTCACGTCGATTTGACGAAATTATGGCCATATTGTAAAAAATAAGCATAAATGTATCACAGAAAAATCATTATAGATTTGTAGGTGGCCGAATCTTGCAGGAAAAAATCTAAAACCACTGGAACCCATGACAAAAACCCAAGAAACGTATAAAAGAATCCCAGTAAAATTAAGATGGCAACAAATTCAGTTCCAGTAAATGACAAAAAACTTGAATATTTGTTTTTTACTTTCCCCCCACTAGGATTTTCTCCTGTGTCGTGGGTGCATTTACATTTACAAGCATACTATTTCACATACACATGACACTCAGTCCTGGAGCAACAAACTGTGGATCACACAAAAAGTTGTTTCGTGTGGGAATCGATTTGCGACACGTTCCACACCGGTTGCCCAGCCACCATGCCAACCGTGCACTCGTCCAGCAGTTTGTAGAGGAATGTGTTTATATTGGTTAGATATACTATAAATATTATTAAAAGTCAAAGTCATCATTTATTTCAATTAGACCAGGAAGGTACTTTTGAAAGTCAATAACAAAAATTTAGTAGTGAAGCTGATTGTTCATTCCAAGGTGTAGATTCCTATGGAGAAGAGCGAGCAAGAAACTGTATTGATTACTCTTTTTTAATCAGGTTTACAAAACAATTCTCCAGCTATATAGTTTCATTGGTTCGATTGTGCGAGAACAATGTAACACCAAAATCCAGTCAAAGAGATAACCAGACCAGAACCAAAAACACCAGATTATATCTAAATTATCAAGAGACACAAGACATTTGATACCAATACCTTATCCTGCATTACATCATTATGGCTGTAAAACCTGAACTTTGACAAGACCTCATAGGAATAAACTTCTAAATATCAGACAAGTATGGAAAGAAACAGGCTTTTTTTAAGAGGGGAAAATCATCGAATGACTGCTCCCGCCTGGGCGAGGTGGAAGGGAGTGTCAGACTCGTACTGACTGAAAACCGCCCCGTTCCTTCTCCTGCACGTCGAGCCGGAGCCCCAGTTACCCGTTAGGTTCTCCGCGACTAAAGAAGCAGGCTAGGTCTGAAGGTAAAGGACAAAATAAAAAATACAGACATAAGACATAAAACAAAAATAATCTAAGCTCATTGGGCAACTGAAACGGAGGTAGACTTCATCACTACATAGTATAATACAAAGTCACTATCCGATGTCTGTCCGACCCTGTGTATGCTTAGATCTTTAGAACTACGCAACGGATTTTGATGCGGTTTTTTTAATAGATAGAATGATTCTTAAGGAAGGTTTACATGTATATCACAATCATGCAAATTGCACCCGTTTGAAGTCGGGGCGTGTCGCTAGTTATGTATATAAAAAGAAGAATAAATCAAACTGGTACCAATGTAGAACCTAAGGAATGGCACTAAGAGTCGAGGTCGTAAGAGGGGATGGGAGGATACCCTGAAAATGATTGAACATTGTGGCAGATAGAAAGCAGTAGAAGAAATTAAGAAATTGGATGCCTTTGTCGTGTGTGAGGCGCACTAAAGTGAGAGAGCTTTTGTAGTTTAATGTACAGTTTATTATATGTACTAGATAATAATCTTTAATTTTAAATGTGTATGTATAATGACAAAAATTCGTAAATAAAGCTTTTATTATTATCACTATAGGTATATTATTGTCTTATTTGAAATATGATGGCATTTTAAAGACTTCCACCCAATTCCTCTAAAAAGAAAGAATCGTTTCCAATGTAGAAATAGAGAAATAATAATAATATTTATAATGGCAAGATAATTTGCAGTCGGTACATATAAATGAATAACGTACATTTTCGGCCGGTACCTCAGATGTTGGCTGACAGGGCAGACTGACTGCTCCGGCGCGTGCCTCGTGCCTCCGACACAATGCCAGGCCTCGCACGGACCGTCGTCGCTTGTATCCACGACAAACATTCAAATTCAAATTGCTTATCGCTTAATTAATACATTATGATCCGTAACAAATAATTATCTGATAAATTTTTCTCTTCTTCTGCTACAATGAGCTTCGCCTCACTTCACTAGGGTACATGGCTTGAGACGCCACGTGCTCCTACTGACTGGACACAATTACAATAAATAAATTGTCATGGACGAAGAAAGAAAAAATAGTAAGGCTGATGGCTCAGCACCTGAAAATGGGGACACCGAACCCAGCAGTCACTTTGAGGAACGCAAGGACAGCGTGTTCAACAAGCCAATAGACCTGGACTATGTGCTAGTGAACGAAATAGGCCAGTTTGGCCGCTACCAGATGTTCAACTTGCTGCTCGTATCCGTCCCCATCATCATGTCAGCCTTTATGAGCGAGTACATCTTCTCTGCGGCCGCTATCCCGCACAGGTATTTTTTTTATTATGCTTAATATGTGTTCCACAGGGAAGTGTTCTAGGCCCTCTTTTATTTATAATTTACATAAATGATTTCCCAAAAAGCATATAACATACCATGACGCTTTTCGCGGATGATAGCACCATAACAATTCCGTGTAATAAAAAAGAAGAATATAACGATGACATAAATAATAGTTTAATGAATGCCGTTGACTGGTTAAATAATAACAACCTTAAAATTAATTTAAATAAAACTGTTATAATGCACTTCAGTCAAAGACCAAATACATCAAATAATACTGACATTAAATATAAAAATAATATTATTCAATCTGTGACTATGACAAAATTCTTAGGTTTAACAATAGACCAAAATCTAAACTGGAAGGCACATTTAGAGAAACTTGCAAAACAGCTAAGTAATAGAGCATATGTTTTACATCGATTGTCACAAACACTGAATACAGACACATTATTAACTGCGTACTACGGAATAGCCGAATCAATTCTCAGATACGGAATAATCTTTTGGGGTAACTCTGTAGAATGGGAAACGGTCTTTAAAGCACAAAAAAGATGCCTCAGATCAATGTTTAGACTGAAAGTTACTGATAGCTGCAAGCCGTATTTTGGACAGTTCAGGATCCTTACTTTGCCATCACTATACATTCTCAATATTGTAATGTTTGTGAAATGTAACTCTCATTTATTTCCGCGTTTAGATGATGTGACACCACGCAACAGACGTGACTATACAAAACTTTGTCTGCAACCTTGTAGGACTGCGCTTATGCGTAGAAATGTATTTTGTATGGCACCTATTGTATACAATAAATTGCCGAAATCTTGGAAAGAACTAAGTGTACAAGATATTAAACGAAGGCTTAGACTATATGGCAATAGGCTCACCCCCTATTACATGGGACTCATAACATAAATAGTGAAAAGTGGGTGTTACATTGTACAGTGGCATAATGTGCACCTCTGCCTTCCCCTTCGGGGGTAAAAGGCGTGATGTTATGTTATGTTATGTTATGTTATATAATTGACTAGTTGTAAAATTACTTATTATTATTTATTTTTTGTTATTAATATGGATAATAATTGGCTATTGAGATCATGACTATGATAAATTTACTAACTGACATATCTAAAAAATAATTTAATAATTAAAAATTTGACAATTGCAATTATTAAAAATTCATTGATTATTAAAATATTATTAAAATTTGACTTTTAACTTGAAATTTGCATGCCATGACGAGTGGCAAACATGTCTTAAGTGCAACCTTATCTTGATCATCTTATATACATGCACCTGTGTGTGTGTGTATGTATACACATGTTTTTTGCAAATAAATGATTTGAATTTGAATATGATTTGTATAAGATGATCTTAAAAATGTAAAGACAAGATCAGTCATTAGTTAGCAAAACACACTGAGAGGTCACAGTCGTGATTTCGCTATTAACATTAAGCTTTCTTCAGATGTCGAGTGCCAGAATGTGGAGAAACGACTAAACTTGAGCAATTCGATCCTGACTGGGTTCTTGATGCAATTCCTGCGGCTGATAACAACAATGGTTTCGTGAGCTGCGCGCGATATACGCCTACTTACAGCAACGGCTCCTTGGACTACTGTCCCGCCTATCTATTTTCAGAGAACCAACAGAGTTGTGACAGCTACGTCTACGCTAGAGACAATTCCTGTGTTTATGACGTTAGTATAACTTGCTGTTGTATTTATCTGGTTTTGAAATTGAATTTTCATTATTCTTATTCTATTTACAATTATTATTACAGTTCGATTTGGGTTGTCAAGATTGGCTCCGTGCTTTAGCTGGTACCCTGAGTAGCGTGGGTACTTTACTGGTGCTGCCCATCGCCGGTTACATCTCCGATACGTTTGGAAGGCGCGTGGCGCTTGTGATCAGTGTTGTCAATTTGGCTCTCTTTGGTATCATTAGAGCCTTCTCCGTCAACTATCCCATGTACCTGGCCTTCCAGTTGTTGCAAACTACCTTTGGTGCCGGAACTTTCAGCTCTTCTTATATCTTTGGTAAGAACTGTTGATCTTTGAATATAATGTTGATTACCTTTCAAACATTGCATTAATGACTCATGTCATTTACTTCGTTATTATAGCTACGGAGTTCGTCGGGCCTAAGTACCGAGTGCTGACAAGTGCCACCTGTTCTTCTATGTTCGCCGTCGGTCAGGTGATATTGGGATCCGTAGCCTGGGTTGTCCAGCCTTGGAGATATATGATCCTTGCGCTACACATCCCTTGCTTTATTATCATCGCATACTACTGGATTTTACAAGAGAGTGTGAGGTGGCTGCTGTCTCAAAAGAAGTATGATCAAGCTAAAGATGTACTGCAGCGAGTCGCGAAACGGAACCGAAAACAGATCAGTGAGAAGTCTTTACATGCGTTGATGAACCCTCCCGAGCCTGTGAAGGTTAGTTATCACAACAATAATTCTTTATTTATGTAATTTTTTTATTAATTGTGAATCGTTGAAATCAAATCTGGCAACTGTGTCATTGATGTTACAGGTGGTAGAGGACGGGAATGAGCCAAACCTCTTCCAAGCCATTTTCCGGTCGGGTGTGCTGCTGCGACGTGTCTGCACCACTCCCATCTGGTGGATCACCACCACTTTCGTGTACTACGGCCTGTCCATTAACGCCACCAGCCTGTCGGACTCCATGTACTTGAACTACATCCTGACTTGCGCCATTGAGATCCCTGGCTTCTACACGGCTGTGCTCATCCTCGACAGGATCGGCAGGAAGCCCACACTGTCTGGCGGCTTCCTTTTCAGCGCCGTCTGCAACATCGCCTTCGCTGTTATACCCAATGGTATGTTTGATTTGTTTCAAAGTTAAAGTCAAAGCATTTATTTCAATTAAACCATAATTTGGTACATATGAAACGTCAACAAAAACAAAATAAATAATAGTCTGTTAGTCAGTCCGTCAGTGAAGCTAGGTGAAGCTAGGTGCTCATTCCAAAATGTAGATTCGAATGGAGAAGAACGAGCAAGAAACTCCATTCGTTACTCTTTTTTTTAAAGTATGTTCTACAATGTCTCTGATACATATTTCAATACTGTACGCATATGTGAGAACAGTGCAAAGACACGCTTGACGCATTACTAGTCTATTTATATATTTGGTTTTTTTCTCATTCGGTTTGTACGTGTATTCCTGTCAGCCTGCCATTCTGTTGTTACTAATGCAATCTGTATGTTTGTTCCTTGTAGTAGTAGCGCCTGCTGTATGTTTACAAAACATGAACACAACCGCTTTACTTTGTAATCTGCAAGGTCCGTGGCGTGCGTCAAATGGCCGCTATCATACCGCTATCATACGGCTATCTGCGATCTGTGGCCAACAGTGTTATCATAATCTTTTTCTACCGATTTTATTATTTTAATTGTGTATTTATTATTATTTACTGGTTATTTGAATCAGTAATCTCACATGTTTTAAATAAACGCATGACTATTACGATTGTAAATATTATCCCCGATTCCTTTGAACATGCGCACGCGTTGAGGTGCGTATGATTCAATCATATTTACCAAAACTACTTTCAGTTTAATGAGTAAAGTTTTTAATCCATGATTAAGGACATGATAATATAATTATGATATGGTGATTGTATTGGATAAATATTCATATCAATTACATGCATACGATTATTTAATTTAAGGGATAAAGTTTTACTTTAAATATTGTTGAATCAAGTTTGAGATCTTGGGAGCCATAACTCGATTGGTAGTGACCACGAGGCTGGTATATGTATATTCCGTGACAGTCGTTGTAACATTTGAGTAACATGTAATATTTGTTGACAGACCTGTCGACGCTGCGTCTGATTGTGTACCTTTTCGGTAAGTTCGGTATCTCGGTAGTGTTCACATCGCTGTACCTGTACACCTCGGAGCTGTACCCCACACAGTACCGGCACCGACTGCTGGCCTTCTCCTCCATGGTGGGCCGCATCGGCTCCATCACCGCACCACTCACACCAGTGCTCGTAAGTCATCTCTCTGTGTTTGTAAACTAACTGTTAAGTATATCCCTAGTTACACGCCCTGTGTTTAGATATGCAGCTGTTTGAATTTGAAGTAGTCTAAACTGCAGGCACTGTCAGTGAAGAGCAGCAAGTTATCTCCAAATTTTTAGTGATCTGATTGCGATCCCCAAGACATCTGTCATGAATGGATATTATGACACTCTTTTGAGAGCTAATCCAGACTTTCTCTTCAACAGATGAACTACTGGGAAGGTATACCATCCGTGATGTTCGGTGCCATGGGTATTCTGTCTGGTATCCTGGTGCTGACGCAGCCGGAGACACTGGGCACAAAGATGCCTGACACCCTCGCGGAAGCAGAGGCCCTCGGCAAGCCAGAATCTAAATTAAACACCTGAAAACATACTCAATGTACCTTAACACTAGATGTAAGAATAACTTCAGTTCTACATTACTTCATACCATAATGTAATTTAATTGATAAAAGGTATGATTGTCTTACTTGAAATATAATGACAATTTAAAGACTGAAAACCAATTCTTATCAAAATGAAGACAAGGCAACATTTTCAATGTAGAACTAGGGAAAATAATAATAATAATTTAACGCCATAAAATCATAGCGATAGAGGCATAGATTATAAAAAACATTATTTATTTAAAATGATAAATGTGTACCTTTCTTAGTCGATAGTTAAACAGTTTTATAAATAAACATTATTACATTAATTAATGAAAGATTTTGGATAATGTATTGTATTCAATAACGCATAGCATGTAATTCTACCAAATTCTACCGTACTCTTTGATATCAATTACAATTCGTACAAAACTGTCGTGCAAACTGTTACCTTACTGTTTTGTAATAGAATATATAATCTGCAACACTTACTTCTCTCTTAGTAATGTATGTACTATGTACTCATTTATGTATAGTAGTTAAGTTATAATAAAATATTATGTGATATAATGTATTTATTTAATTATTTTATTGTGGTTTATCTCCCTACTGTGACGAGTCTTTGTTTTATGAATGATAAAACTAAATCATGCAATTCAGATAATATGATGTATGTAAGTAGGTACTCGTGAAAATAAATGCATGTAGTAAAACTGTACAATCCTTGTTACAGTGTCATTATCTGTCATTTAAATGTATATATTTTTTTAAATAAATGAAGAAAGTTCAGCTGAGACGCCCATTTCTGCACACAACATATGCCACGATTGCGAATCAAAAGGACTAATAAATTATTGTGTTTTCATAAATTCAAAATTAAAAGAGATTTTAATTACACTTGTCCTTAACCAGCACCTGCCGAATCCTGCATACATTAAGTACTTTAGATCCTGGCATGAGTCATCATTCAGTAATTCCAAACAAATAAATACTGAAGCGTGGCAATATTAGATATCTTCACTTGTACAATCTTGACTAATTTACAGCCTATAGCCATAAAATCCAGCCGAATCTTGCGTATAATCCTGATATGATAAACTCTACGTTGCTCCAATCATAATATACCTACATATACCAGTTCACTTTTCAAATGTTTCATCTGTATTGATTTTAATGCAAGTGGTGCTAAGTGTGGGAGAGTCAGGCTTCGTCCGAAGTCTTCTCACATAACCGCCGTGGAACAATGCTTGCTTTAGGTAGTTACAAAGTTAGAACCCAGCAATAAGGTGGAGTTACGATTCACGTAAAAGTAGTGTATAGTTAGTATGCTATATGTTGATGACAAACAAGTCATTGAGAGAAATGAAACAAGTATGAATTTTGTATATAAATTATTATGAACACTTAGAAAATTACTAGACAACTAAACAACTAGAACTAGAATACTTCACAATGTGAGATTCACAACATTTACATAATCGAGCCACGAGCCCGCGGCCTGACTTGACGCACACAAATTCACGTGCAGTCAGACTAAACAGAAATATGCAGAAAATTCACCAACTACAAACATGTTTGGATTATAACTTTCGAACTTTCGTTTTTCGGCTTACTCGAGTAACTGTTTGACGAGAAACTTGACTAGTTTCTACAATAGCTGCTATACATTGGCAGCGTCATAAGTTGTGGAATGCTGCTGATGAATACGAGGCCCTAGTGGCTTGAAACTAGTTGAGTTCCTCGTCAACAGTTCAACAATGAGTAAGCAGAAAATATATAAAATAACTACAAATATAATAAATTGCTATCAAAAACTAATTATAATGTACCTGATATATTATGAGAGCATTACATTAATGATGTACATTAGACAGTAGTTAAATTTCTGCACATTCCTGCTATGTGGCAGCCGGAAACAAGGATTCAAATAAATACAATAATATAGGAATACATTATGCTCGTCTACACGATACTCTGTTAATGTTTGAAACACATTTACGTTACGTTAGCAAACAAATATGTCTATATATTTTAAAATTGTAGAATAAAAATAATTGAGTTAAAATATTTACAGTAAGTATCTAAACAAATTTATAAGATACTGCTTTGTCAGTTAATGCTATGATTGTATAAACACTTTAGAACTTAGGATTAAAGAAATTCATCGTATTGATCTTTAAGCCCTTATAAAAATGGTTTACATTATTTTATGTAGATTACCAATATTAAAAAGATAACATGCATTTATCATTTGGCAATGACATGTTTGAAAATATTTAATTATCTATCTTTGTAAATATTCCCCAAGTAATTAGGAGACAGACATCAGTAAAGGATCATCAGATAATGGCATGTATTACATACCTACAACACAATGGTGTTGTAGGTATGTAATAATAAATAATGCGCATGCGTACAATGGTACGCATGCGCATCGATACAGTAACTATCGTCAACAAGAGCTTTACAAGTCTAGACGCAATAATCGCAGTCATTTATCTGTTATTTTTAAATCGATATAATTTACCTGCTTTAGTTAAATATATTGTTTAGGTACCTACCAAATTACAAACGGATTTTTAATGAACTAAAATATGGATAAATAGTACAATGTTTGAATATAATAATTGGTCACGATACTAACTAGTATTCCAATTTGTGCAAACGTATGGTAAATGTGTTTCAAGTAAACATCGCGCAACATGCGAGAGATGTTATCTCCGCGGAGTCCGAAGCAGACAAATATAATCAATAATACAACTATTGTATAAATATTACAGTACACTAGTCTATAATTACGTTACGATTTGTAAAGTTATCGTAATGAGCCGCGTCGACGACGGAGTTCATAAATAAATGCTTCCTTGTATTTTGTACAAAATTCTCTTCTATTATTATAAACATAGAAAAATGCAAAAGAGAAATCATTTATTTAGGAAGGCCTACTTTATATAATATCAAGTCTATCAAGATTACAGTTCGACTCTCGCAAACTCTGAGAGTTAAACTTAGTGAAGCTAGCGAGTACATAATGACTTATTCGACGTCTGCTCATCATCTCGACCTTTAACCAAGTATCACAAAACCTACAACCTATTAGTACAGCTAAGCAATATCACACGGGAGCACCATAGACACGCGGCCACAGTCCGCCATCACAACGTCTCTATACAACTAGTAGCACGACTGTCTCAGGTCACTGTCCCCAGCAACTGGCATAATATCCCCAGTTACACGGTTGAGATTCACAATTAATGTCTTAATTACTTAACACTAAATCACTGCACTACGTGGATATTGACTCTTTGGTCTTCGCAATATAAATGGTCCTGCTGTCACATCATTGCGTTTCCTTCCCACTGGTGACGCAGACTGACAGTCTGGGAACGTTGTCATGGCTCTCGCTCTCCGAAGTATGTTCTTCGTGAGGATTGTCCAGATTCTCAGCGTCTACAACATCGTCTGGCAGTGCTGACTGGCTGGTGTCGGGCAGCAGCAGCGCCAGCACGGCGGGTCCCAGAGCCACCAGACCGAATACCACGCTCGGTAGACCTGTCATGTACTTCTCCTGCAAAATTCATAATATTAATTAATTTCTGTTTCTGACATATACCTGTACTAATATTTAAAGGGTCGTAAAAGTAAAAAAAAAACAACAAAAGTCGTAAATGTAAGTAATAATTACAACTTATCAGAAAATGATGAAACTGTCATGATAACATCATCATAGACTGAAGGACGTCTACATTCTTATCAAGGACCGCAATAACAAGGCGTCTGGTTTTATCCAGTTTCGATGTAATAAGCAGATGTTGTATGTTTCTAGAGTTGTTCCCTGGTATGATGGTGTGTGTACTTACGAGTAGCGGTGTCTGCGGCGCGAGCACGGAGCCCACCCTGCCGACGGTGTTGGCGATGTTGGTGAGGGAGTTGCGCGAGGTGGTGGGGAACACCTCCATGGCCACCACGTACATCGAGAACACGCCGTAACTGCTGCACATCTTGCCGAACAGGTAGAACAGCACTGACGCCCACCAGATCGCTGCAAGAAAAATCATAATTAGAAATCATGTTGGTAGAACGAACATTGTCACACTAAGGAAATGAATAAGTAAATATAAAAAATACTTACACTTAGGTATGAACGCAGATGAAATGAAGAATACACAGCACAATGTATACGCCACACAGATGGGAGCCTTCCTGCCGAATCTTGTGAGCGTTAGTGCCGTGATGATTCTAGTGGGAACTTGTACGAGCAGCAAGGCGGAGAAGTTGAGATACTTGTTGCCGGAGACACTGGTAGAGTTTATGATAGTGCCGTTGTACACGAAGGTGCAGCAGAAGAAGCAGCCAGCTATCAGCAGCACACGCAGCAGGATCTTTTTAGACCGGAGTACTGACAGCAGGTGTAGCCGCTCTGGTGGGGCCGACTCTCCAGCCTACGAACAATATTCATACAGGTCAATAAACCAGCAAGTCATGGTTGTAATGCAATTTCGGAAGAAATTAAGTTACATACTTTAATTTATACGTAAGTAGGTATAAGTTAATCGGGTTCGCCAACCTTCGTAGTAATTTTCCACTGAATGCTTTCAATACAAAGTTGAGTGACCCTCGACAGTACATTACTATTGAAGCTGATGACCACATGAGATTAACAGTATAGACCAACAAAAAGGAATTGAAGCTTTACAAAGTGATCATCCTTTGAATAAGTGATATAAAGGAAGTCAACTGATCTGTTCAATACACAGACATAATATTTACTGATAAAATTCAGGTGATTATCCAAATACGAGTAATTTGGTATAAATAACTATATGTTATCATATTGAACATAAACACGTGAGAGACATGTGCATTGCGACGTATATTATTGCGAATTATAAGGATAATGCTAGAGACACTCACCTCTCGTGACTTGCTGTCTCCTGCGATCTTCGTCAACATCTGCTGCGCTTTCTTCGACAGCTGGATGTTATTGATCTTGGCGACCTTGTTGAGGACCCTGACGGCTTCATGATTTTTGTTATGAGCCAGCAACCACCTCACACCCTCATCTATGAGGAAGATGTAGAACACCACCACCAGTAGAGGCGCGTAGATGGCTCTCATGAGATGTCTCCAATACGGCACCTTCCACGCGATCAGACCGAAGGATGCGCTGCCGATGCTGGCCAGGATGTCGGCTATGCACGAGAACATTACTCTCTGTTTCTGACTCACTGTTTCAAGAGCTGGAATAGGAATACAGTAGTCAGGTTACTATTCGAATCCAGAAAATTATGCAGTAGTACACACAGTTGTTAAATGTTTCAATTATCTATGTCAATATTACATTCACATTATACTGAACTGACTATTCCTTTGGATTGATTTGTTTTGTGTTTTTTTCTTACGTTATATCGCCATATTTAATGGTAAAATTGATGGCACACAGCATGGGACATCTCAAGATTATTCAACGTGATAATGCCACAGCGCGCTGCACGTGACACAGTAAGCATCCGATGTACTATTACAATAAATACGTGTTTACATTAAACATCAAGCTAAGGAAATCATTGTTTACAACTACAATTATTATAATTCTACTGTTCTGATAAAATCATTGCCTTAGTGGCTGCGACTACTTAGCATGTAATAAGTAATTGACGCCTAGTTCGATGAAATACTAACAAATTACCAAGAATCAAATAAATAGTTACAATTACAATACGTATAAACAGTGATATAAGGAAAGTGTCCTTTTAAAAACGTATATGAGCAGTATCGTGGGAAACAGTTTGTGGTTAGACACGATGTTGTCTACATTGTGACGTCATATGACACGTGCTGGACCCTGACCTTGTGACACTGTCATTTTACACACAACATGAACTTATTCCTCTTCGTCATAATGAGATGTAGGTCAAGGTGGTGTAAGGGAAACATACACACATATAAACACATCAGAAGTCACTCGTTTTATTCCTCCTGTGTTCCCCATAAAACAGTCTTACCTTACTTAGTCCTTCCCGATAATGGTACCCGAGATCATTTGCATGAAAAAAGAACTTACTCTTGACCAATGAGGTAATCAGATAGGGATGATAAGTCCAAGGTATGCAGTTGATGTTGGCTTAGCAATTTGCACGATTAAGCGATTTGATAAGTTGTCGCCAATTTTGCGGTATTTGTTATTATTATCGCATGGATATTTTTATACGTATATTAAAAAATACCTAAATCATAATAACATGACTAAGTCATTAAGACGGAGGAGAACTTGATGCTCTCTCTTTTAAATCATGCCTTTCATTTCATTTCCCTATGGGGTAAGGGCCACATTAAATGTAACATCGACTTTTCGCTGGTTGTAATAATTATGAGACCCATACAATAAATGGCTCATATAAATAAAACCATACTTACATAATACCATCGAAGCGTTGCCATATCCGAGCGCGGTTTCTAAGAACTCGAAGACGAGCAGCATCCAGTAGTTGACAGAGAACGACTTGATGAGACCAGCCACGCCTACCACCAGCGGGGTACCCACGATGATTACTTTACGACCGTACCTAAGGAAATGTCAGATTTTAATAAATTTTCAAAAACACTTTTGTAATATGTAAGACGAGCACGGAGAAGCATCCCTAAATTTTCAAGAAAGTAATAGCTAGCTTTGCTTTTACAATAAGATTGACAGTGGCGCCATCTATTAGTATGGTATAACACTTTTGATATCAAGAGGAAAAATATAAATGAAAAATAATAAAATACTAGACTTTGATTCTGTTTAGTTTTTCGAATATATTGATGAGTTGATCAAATGTATTGTATGTACTCACTTGTCTGAAATGAGTCCTGATATGACGAAGGAGAACACGAGCCCCAAGTTGTGTACAGTACCGATCAGAGTTCTCTTCCATGGTTGACAGCCCAAGTCGAACTGAAAGTACAATATAAATTGAGTTATGTTTAAAAAGTGCAATTAATATATTTTATGATACAACTTACTAAAACAATTATACTGCAACTTTCATAAATAATATATCAAAAGAATAAATGTTGCGCAGAGGGCGCTGGTGTAGAGTTAAGTCCCTTATAAAATGATGAAGTCTAACGTTAATCTATCATACTTAAATTGGTTTGTAAGTTATAAAGTTGATCATTGAAAACTGCTTATTACAAACGTGAATATTGTATAAAATTATTGTTTGCAAAGATGTCGCTAACAGATAATAATATACAGAATTACAGATAATAATATACCTAAGTATAGTAGCAATAAAATACTAACAAATATGTACGTAGTCACCGTGATCACTAAGTATTATTGTGCGACAGGACGCGCTTCTTATAATATTAGTTTTCACATTCATTCAAGTAAATTACATGTTCGTGTAGGACTCATTCTTTGTCAGATGATGTACCTATACAGTATAAGCTACATCTTGATACATAGTTTACATTAAAATATCATATAAAGGCAGTACAGAGCATGAGTGTAGAAGAACTCTTGTCACAGTGATTCGACTGATTTTTAAATTATCTTGGTCGTTAAGGAGATCGATAAGGTCTTTTATAGGTAGGTATGTCTACGCTAGCGATAGGTACATAGAGCCTTATTCGTATGAAGTATTGTACCCACAATGCATGCAAGTACTTACAGAACACATTATCACTAAATACTATAATGTGTGGTATTTACTCGGCAACGGCACCCGCGCGCCCCCGTGCGTGAAACGGCCGTGAACTTGCACTAGACCACTATGACCATCATTTGGTCGCAATCACCATGACATTCTAATATTGTAATCTCTTTTTTAATGACATTAGGATCTTTACATCATTTTTAGGCTTACACTAGAATTTCCTTGTCCGTTTATTAAAACAAATTCCACGCAAATTAACAAATAATAATAATAAGTTTCAGGACACGTCATATGCAGCAACCAACCCCATGACACGTTATATAACTGTCAGCCACCCATTGCATATCAACGGAGAATTCTAAAGTCAGTTTGATCACACACATTCATATATATTTATACCACACATTTATATTTGATATCAAGTAAAATTGATATCTAGGTTTCAGATATCCTGTTTGACTTGACACTCACCTCAGCGACGATGCTGTTATAGTCCTCATAGACCAGCTTATCGCAGGAGACGCTCTTGTTCCAGGAGAAGTTGTCGGGCGCGCAGGTGTAGGTGAACTCGTGGCTCAGCACGGAGCCGTTGTATGCCGGCTCGTAGGGCACCATCCGGCGACACGTGCCCGTCTCGTTAGTCAACGCGTATGACGTCCACGATGCATTGAACCGAGGGTCCACTGCCTCGCACTCCGGTACCTGACACCTGTGAATAAATAATGAATATGTTAAGTATAGACTCGATTGTCTCGATTGCCGAGTGGTCGCAAGTGCGACTGCCGGGCAATGGGTCTTGGCTTTGATTCCCGGGGCGGGCAATGTGTTACTAGTGATTTTTTAAATTTCAATAGTAGCACGGAGTTTGGAATTGTGCCCGGCATACAACGGCATATGGCAATAGGCTCACCCCCTATTACATGGGGCTGATAAAATAAATAGTGAAAAGTGGGTGTTACATTATACAGTGGCATTAAGTGCTGTAATGTGCACCTCTGTATACTCCTTCGGAGATAAAAGGCGTGATGTTATGTTTGATTAAGTATAGTGGCAGTATGAAACAGATTGTCACCAATTATATCATTACAAAACTTCTGATAGCAATCTTGCTCTTGAATTTGAGCAGGCGTTGACATTACTCAGATTTTAGAATTTATCGCAATGTATTCTGATGACAATGTAAATCAAGAACAGGTTGTTGGAGTAATAGAGCAGGTGATGTAGTGATGCACATTGTGTGCGCTTCCTGCTCACGACTCATTTATAACACAGCGCAGTGTCGGCCCTCACCAGCTGAGACAATACACAACACACACAAGAAGCGGAAACTGTCGCTGTTGTTACTTATACCACTAGTTTACAGCACTGAAAGTACTTTTACCAATTTTGGAGGATATAGAATTTTAGAGTAACTAATGATCATCTTAATCACTTAAACAAAACACTATCTTAAATGAAACAGTTCAGACTCAAGTAAAGTTATGGTCATCAGAAAGACAATTAAACAAGACACTAACTTAAATTGAAAAACGAAACTTTACATTCTATACGAACACCGCACGAGCACGAGTTACTAATGACTATGACAAATATCTTTTAAGTAACTAGATATTTTCTTAATAACATATTAAACATAATTGCCTATTATGTTATAACACGGAAAGTATTAACGTAATATGGGAAACCAGTAGGCCAATAGATCAGCCTGCCATACAAGCCATTACTGAGCCATTGACGTTGTGCGTCACCGTTCGTACAAGTGCTGTAAACATTACGTGTGACAATATTTCAGGAGCCCTATTGTGTGGCCACATGGCAACAGACGTTACATGTAAACAATAGTTACATACATACGATATTCATAAAGTACTGCCTCATTAGACTAATGCGAAAGAGTAACTACTGTAGAGTATACTGAATTGGTCTTGACTTGACATCATCAATGGGAAATCTTTAAAATGAAGTAATTATCGTTAACACTGCACTATTCGTCGTGATTTGCAGGCGCACGTGACGTCGTGCATAGATTTTGCCTTTAATTATTTACATTTATGCGTTACGCTCTTGCATGCTTCCACCGTTGAACCTTCCCCAAAATATTTTCTTTCTATTCTTAGTTAAAATAGGTACAATTATCCACAACCATCAAAATTATCACAGCCTATAAATCTGTTACCTTTTTTCTTGCATTTCTGACTGGGAGATTATAACTGACAGTATCCTTAGTGAAGACATTACAAGACAAGACATGTACATGTATCGTATGTGCGTGTGTGGCTCGAGGTCGCTGCTGATGGGAGCTGTTGTATTGTATCACAGTGCATTTTATTATTGCTTTATTGTAGTAGCTCGTCACAGCTGTTCTTGTGTGTGACTGACACTGCTTGCTCTTGTAAACAACATAGATGGCGGGGAAAGTGTTCAGTGACGTCATGAAGGTTCTTATTACGAAAGTTACCATGAACTTTCTTGACATAATATATACTATATTATTATTATGTAACACTTAGAAAAAAATAAGACTTTGCCTTACTTCCGAATAACCTCTACTTGCGCAAAATGGTATTATTATACATAACACTTTCACTTCACTTCATCGATTACTAATATTAGTTTAGTAAGTCTATAAGTAAGTTAAGAGTTATGTCGTTATAGTAAGGCATTTATCTGGATAGGTATCCAGTTACTGTCACTTGAATATTGAAATTTTCCTTCCTCTCCATTTTGCGATATAATAATTATCTTTACCTACATCTGAGATTTCCCATAATATCGTATAATATCGTAATTGTAAACGACGTGTCTATTTGAATCATACCGTACTGGACTACCTAACTAATGTATTAGGTGCACATGGTATGTTATCGTAGGACGTTTACGAAACTATCAAACTCACTATAACTAAATTATAGTTTTTTTACGAGTCAAGTGTTAGCAAACGATATCTCGAAAGCGATAAAGAAGAAAACTATAATATTTCGTTTCTTATAACAGGTACGAATATTGGTTGGGCCCAGGTATGTCCTGGAAGTACACCCAGTAATTGAAGGACGTCTAAGGAATTTTTACAATTTTGGTAACTTAAAACTAGTAACTCCGCTTGGCATGAGTGATAATTACTGATGATTAAAGAAGCAACCCTATTAAAAGGCAAGTTCAACAAAGAACATGTTCCTGCTGATGATGATGATGATGACGATGAAATGTTAGTGACTTGACCTGACGTAGGGGGAAATTGATAGTTAACAATATAGAAAGGAAGTTACAGTCATTAATATAATAAACAATGATATGCGAATTACCACGCACGTGTGATGACTGACTGGTGAGGTGACAGGAAAGTGCGAGGTAGTTACGTGCGAGTAACGTGTGACGTATGAAGTGGTAGACGTCGCGCCAGACAAACCCGCGGGGAGATGATGACACACCCACAACTTGGAATAGTACGTACGGCCATCCCATCCCAAAGATATGCTATCCCGAACTGACATTTGCTAACAGATATTCATTTTATTGCAACACTATAAAGTTTTAAATGAATAGGGAATAGAGTAGCTTGATGTGCTGGTGTCTGTACTTATGGATGTTAATGTTATTAATGATTCTTGAATTTTATGAATAGATCTGTATCGAAGTCTCGTACTCGCAAGATGTGTGTTATTGCAGCGTTTGATGTAGTGAATGTAAAACATGGCGCCGCTTATCGCTCGCGACAAATTGAGAACTAAAACATACAGAAATGGTAACACAAAGTTATGGGACTTTTGGAATCTGATAATATTATCTTGCATTCATTTTGTAATTAACTTTTGACAAAATGTCGAAGATGTAAGTAGAAGAAAGGGGATAAAGTATTTTGTTTTTAGGACTAGTTATAAGCGTACTTGTATGAACAAGGCCTTATTGTAAATTATAATCTAAACAATCCTTACATTGTTGTTAACCAAGAACCATACCTACCTCTATAAATTATAATCTTATCAATCCTTACATTGTTGCTAACAATGAATTACTATACTTGTCAATTGCAATCTAAACAATCTTCACATTGTTGGTAACAAAGATCTATACTTTTAAATTACCACCTAAACAATCGTTATATTGTTACTAACAAAGATCTAAGCACTCTTACATTGTTATGAACAAAGCCCTATACATTTAAATTGCAATTAAAGCAATCGATACATCCTGTGGCACTTATACGCGCAAGTATAATTTATTGACTAAGGGATAACCTCCCACCACTGGCCATATAGAATAAAATATACATCTTAGTTGTGTATAGAGTTACTTCAGATAAAGTTATTCAACTATTAACACCGTTTTATATCACACAGTAATTATTGTAAGTCGAAAGTTGTGAAGTGAATAAAGAAATTATTAGCAGCATTTGTGGTGTCATTTCCCAAAGGGACTCCCGGAGCGCCATCCTAATAGTACCATGCACTAGTAAATATTTAAAAAGTACTATTTAAGAATATCTAGTAGAAATTAAAAATATACCTACAGAAATTAGCAGTGTGTATTGCATCAACCAGGCTAGTTAGTTAGACTATTAGTTCCAGTACGCATTATAGGCAAATTTACTAGTGATTTAAATGAAATTGAAATTTATATATAGATGAAAGTAATATGATGAAGAAGCACTGACCTAAAGTCGACTTCTGCGGCGGTAAAGACGTAGTTGAAGTTGCACATGGCGAGAAAGGAGTCTCGGAAGGCGAGCAGTAGCAGCAGTAGCAGCTGGTACTTGCCGAAGCTGCCGAGCTCGCTGAGGATGCCGTCCAGGTTGAACTGGCCCTCCTTGTTCTCCTCCGACACCTGGATATGGGATAGGAGAAATTGTATATAGACGTTTTAAGCAGCGTTGAAATAGAAGTAGATGATATACAGAGTGAAATTGTAGCACATTACGCTTAATGAAATTGTTAACACTGTTTCCCTGATCTGAAATTTCTAGAGTTTGAGTGATGCTATTTTCCACTAGTTCACTGTGTAGATTTACATATTTTTGTTTCCTTTACAAAATAACATTTCTCATGTATAACGAGATTTCTGCCAACTTAGCTACTGAAAGGTGTACGTACCTTAACTGTAGTTTCCTTGGCGACCATGGCGGTGGTTCTGAAGTTACTTCACACTACTGACCTGTGTTCACACCTATCACCATCATCCCTGGAATAAAATCACATCTTTACTGATCTACATTCACATATTAATTTAAACTTCCCAAAAGGAAAAAAAAACTAAGTTTTGTTGAATTAATATTTTTTTCTTAAAATTAAATAATAATATATTTTTTATTAAAAATAATAACCACAGCACCATAATGAAATTAATTGCTGTAGGCATGTCCACATGAAACGAGTGTTTATTTTAATTAATTGCGAAACCGCACCTCACATTTTCCTGTAGACCACCACCGTAGTAGCGAGTAACATCACATGTTTCCCGAGCTTGTCTGACCGTCTGACGTCTGACGTCTGACGTCTATGTCAAGTTACCTACTACTACTACTTTTCTTGACCTTGTACTAATTACTGCGTCACTTGACAATGAACGTGCCCAACTAATGACACGATGTTAGAAATTATTTTCAAAAATACGTTGTTTACAATTAAATGGGATGCAGAATGTGAATTTATAAAGATAACCTACTTTTCTTCGTTTTGTTTATTTTGATCGATGCCGTCTTGCATTTAGAGTACATATTGTAAAGTATTGGCGTATATCATCAGATAATGCTTGATGTATTTGTCAATGATAATATACAACACAATGCGTATGGTGGTTATCTACATTAACTAGTTTCATTAATTATTTTGTGACAAAAATTTTGAATAGTTTTATTGAAGGCATAAATTAAATAGCGTGCTAATATATATGTTAGTTAATATCGCCCTGCTTATACTATTAACACACCTAAGACCTACTAATATAGAAGGACTCTTAGAAATGACATACATGTGATTAAATGCTCACATTCCAACTTGAAATGATACGGTGGTATCCATTAAAACGATGATTCACGTAAATATATTTTTGGAAGTCACAGATTTAAGTGGACATTACTAAACATACCCAGGATCCAATAAGCAGTAGGATGCGGCAATTGTATATTTTATTATGACTTATATTATTAACAGAACTCGGAACTAATAATTATGTAGAGGTACATGAGCTCCGAAAGACATCCGGAGCTCACACGGTCTGTGACACTCTCTCGGAGGCACATTCCTCATTACAATAAAATTACTGTCACGAGCATTTAAGTTTTTAATTACGATTCCGTGGCACGTACTTCCTTATCGGTACCGCATGGACCGTTTGATCAGACTCACGCGCACCTCGCGACCTGCGTGCGCGGCTGTACTGGGCTAATCAACTGTATATTCTGTTGAGATTTGTTATGTATTGAAATGTCTAATTGCTAAATTTCTAAGACACATGAGAATATCTTCAATAATTTTTAATCTTACAAAATTTACACATTTATTTCGCGCGTTCTTCCGTCAGTCATATCATCGTAGATAAGTGTTTCGCTTTCTTTGTCGTTTTCGTAAGTATATTAGCTTCATATTTTCCACATAACTATATCCATTAAACAGAATCACAACGAAATAAATAAAACATAACGTGGAACAAGCTATCTATGAAAAATATGTAATCTAGTTAAATATGAACAACTTTAATGAGAACAGTTCAATCACCTCCATTTGTTATTAGAATGACTACACAAACTACAGTGACGTACACCGTAACTAAACTCACGACAACACACTACACATAAACATTATGTACGACAATATACACGACACATCAATCACACTTCTCGTCTTTAACGCTTTGTTCAAATGACACAAGACATTGTGCCGATCACGAGATATATCACATAATTAATGTCAATATATTTGCACCATATTATCTAACAAGTAACAACACAACAACTAGTTTTCGATTATATTGTTTAAAAAGCGGTCGTATAGAAAATTCTAGATGTTCGATATTTATTAATAAATTGCACAATATTAATTGAACGTTTAAAATGACTATAAACTCTTCGCTGCACCGGTGACATTTTATCTAAGCAAGAATTAGCATACGTATATACAAATACGACCGTAGCAATTAACATTGTCGGATCTACGTTTTTACCATTTTCGCATCACAGATCTTAGAAGTACCATATCAATAAACCTGTAATTTTTTATATTCCTGAACCCAACTATCTTTAAAGGGAAAAATGTAGGATGTGTTCTATGCGTGGCGTATATAATATTGGCGCGTAAAACATTACGACATTATTTTCCGACGCAGGATTAGAAAAGTAGGCACCGGTCTGCCACTTCATTCAATGTTAGCGGGGGCAACGGCTTATAAAATTCTATTAATTTTTGCTTTATTATCAACGGCTTATTAATTAATTCATATCTATAAATACATTTTAGAAAATAACGACGTCTATGCCAGGTACATGTTTATGGTTTTTTATTTCGTTTACTGAGTTGAATGTATCGGATATAGTACTGCGGACCAAATTCAAAATTGTACTTCAGATAATAATGTCGGATCTGCCACTTCTAACAAAAAAATACGTAATTTAATGATGTGCAGTTTTTCACATGTCCAATATCCTTTCGCTAAATTTGTATATATCTCTACGTCGTGTAATTAATATTCATACTTCATACCAAATTTGGTCAGTATACATTGAATAATGTTTATTTTATACACATTTAAAACTCCAAACGGCCGCCCTGTAAAGTAGTGATTTTTCACATACGACTTTATTAATTGCTATGCTACGGTCAAACTATCATAACATTATGTTACTAAGGCTTAAAATAGATGTTTATGTATTTAGGATCGATATTAATTCAAACCGGCTTTGAAATAACTTTAAGTAGCGAAATGTGAGATGATATAATCAAATCGGTATTTTTGGGCGTTTCCAAAGAAATTATAAACTAGTTTTATGCTAGTCCCTAAGTTCCACTATTATCAGACACGTTGGTGTATCACCTGAATGTGATATAATAGACAGTTAGGTATACATTCACCTTATTAACATTCCATAGTCTCATGTATTACGAAGCGGGCCTAGTCCTACAACGAGGATTTAAGAAAGAGGATAAACTCAAACCCAGCTCAAATCGAACCCTAAACCCCTCGGAAGCCGCGATTGTGCGCGAGTCGTGGCTTCACTGACTGGCGATGAGCTCGCATCAACACTAGTGGGCCTGAAGGATGTCATACTCTGTTATATGTAATAAATATGTATGTATTTATGAGTAATACCAGACTGCACAACTTTCCAAGTTACAGGTGTCAACAGTTAATTGTTATGGTAATTAACAGGTTTCATATTAAAAGTATTTCGTACCACATGACTCATGTTTCTTATGATTTATATCTTAAATATTTGAATACTCATTCATCGCTTTGTTCGCTTTCCATTGAGGGGTGACAAACTAAGGACAGAAGTACCATGTCAACATATGTTTCATTGTAACGCGAATACCTATTACAGTGCAATATCTCACATGTCAATATGATAGTTTAAAAGAGATTGTGATTGATACCATATTGTTAAAGAACCAATTAATTAGACAAGGGCTTGTAAACTAGAAAATATGTAACCATTTCTTTGTCTTATTGTTTTTCTATAAATTAAGATAAAATGTATAGTATACCTCTATAGACGTACTCGTCTATATACTATACATTAGATGTACTCGTCTATATACCTGTTCCAATTGGTAGCTCCGACTAACGATACGAAGCAATTCTCTATGTCCACTATACTGTACAAACATTTGACAGTTGTTCAAACTATTATCAATAATTTCACACAAAAATATTCACTTAAATACATAATGATTGTGTTTGTAAACCAAAAAAATATAATTCTATGAGTACTTGTGTAACTAAATCACAGTTTAATATTATTACAATATTAAACTAAAATTCCGCAGTTATCAAATATGCGATCAAATGGTCTACGAACCGTGCTACGAGATTCCGTAGCACGGAACACAAACTAAGACAAAAATCGTTTCTAAGCGTGACTCTAAATATTGTATTGGTATAAAATATTGCGTTATAATAGAAGTCAAAGTCAATGTCTACAAATCGCACTACCGAACTCTTCTCCGCACTGCACCGCGTAGCAATGTGCTACGAACAACGGCGACGCACAACACGGATTATTAAAAGACGTTCCACTAAAATTATCATTATTATAGTCAAATTAATTACATACCCATATCCAAAGGCAAATAAATTGAACAACTGTGTCGTGTAAACCCTACCTGATTACACACAATTTGAAAATATTTTCAACACTTTCACAAGTTTAACCTGTATATCACTACACTCTCCGAGGATATCACGAGAGAAGGAACACTCGTGTACACTGGGTACTGGTAGAAGTTATACTAGTGGTCCTCCAGGCCGTACTCGTGGTTCTAAGTAAATGTGGCGTGTTTAATCAGTAAGTTCAGAAGCTGTATTGAATGGAACGCGTTATCTGGACCGAGTAGCTCACAGCTCATTGTGTAGCCTGTCGGCAACGAGAGCAAAGCAACAGCTACAATAAAACGGTTTCTCAAAGGATAACATTTGTGGTAGTTAGTGTAGCTATAATTATTGGGCTACTACACAGTAGTCGCAGAGCCTGGGGAATTGGATTGTGCCGTAGATTTGAATTCGAGAATCTACATTTGATATCAAAATTATTTTATTATAAAAGTGCTCCAATTAATAAAATTATGTTTCTATTAAATAGTAATTTATTTTTGTACACTATATTATTACGGTATACCTGAGATCTTCTTTAAGTATACCCGTACACACAATATTATGCAGTGAAGTATGTATATTCGTCCCCTTGTACTACACTACTCCATTAGTAAATCACAATACTTAGTTACAACACTTGTAACACGTCGAACAATGTTTTAAACAAAGACGTGTCAGATTTAGTTGATGTATTTAAATAGTCCGAGTCTCAATGATCATTATCATCTTTCTCACACACAACAACACAAATCATAAATATATATCCATTTATTTTAATTTATGGAAATTATCTTGTTAATATTTTCTCGTAAACTCGAATCACTTAAATCAAACGTTTATGTTACCGATGTTTTGGAACATGAACATTTTATCGC